CCTGGCCTTGGACACTGCCAGGGATGGGGCAGCCACAGCTTCTCTGGGCACCCTGTGCCAGCGCCTCAGCACCCTCACGGGGAAGAGCTTCTTCCTTATATCTAACCTAAAGTTCCCCTGTTTAAGTTTAAAGCCATTACCTCTTGTCCTACCACTAGAGTCCCTAATGAAGAGTCCCTCCCCAACATCCTTGTAGGCCCCCTTCAGATACTGGAAGGCTGCTATGAGGCCTCCACGCAGCCTTCTCTTCTCCAGGCTGAACAGCCCCAACTTTCTCAGCCTGTCTTCATATGGGAGGTGCTCCAGTCCTCTTATCATCCTCGTGGCCCTCCTCTGGACTTGCTCTAACAGCTCCATGTCCTTTTTATGTTGAGGACACCAGAACTGGACACAATACTCCCAAGTGAGGTCTCACAAGAGCAGAGTAGAGGAGCAGGATCACCTCCTTTGACATGCTGGTCATGCTTCTTTTGATACAGCCCAGGATATGGTTGGCTTTCTGGGCTGCAAGCGCACACTGCCTGCTCATGTCGAGTTTCTCATCAGTTACCACCCCCAAGTCCTTCTCTGCAGGGCTGCTCTGAATCTCTTCTCCATATATATATATATGTGATGTAACTTACGAATTTCTCACTTGCACAGCTGAGTTTTTTGGACTATAGTCCACATAAAATTGTTTGCTTTGCTTTTGTAGTCAGGTATGAAATTTAATGTTGCCTGCTGGTTATGTCATGCAGGAATGTTTGACTGACTGACAGCTGCACTTCTTTTTCCTGTGAAAGCTGACCACTTGGTGTATAGTAAAATACTCTGTGTGTTTTCCCTTAACCTTTAATTTCATTATGCCTTAGTTTCTTTGCACAGAGAGATACCCAAGCTTATCACCACCATAGATTAAAGCAAGATTAATTGGCTTTTGGATGAGAACTTTACATGTTGATACCAATACTTATCAAAATAATACTTCCAGCTTAAGAACCAAATGCTGCTTTTTCTGGAATGAAATCCCAAGATGCAGAAGATGTTAGAATAAAAGTTATTCATGAACAGCATATGTTTTCCATATATGCTTCAGAAGTGCTAACAAAATTTGTGACACGCGGTGCTAGATTATCAGCTGTTTCCAATGATTTTCACCCATTATAGCTCAGAAAGAAACTGACATTAAACTGTTACTTTTTAACCTGGAGGAGACTCTCCTCATGGGCCAAGAAACACCTGCTTTGATCAAGTTATTGTGCCTTCCCATTGATCAAAGGTTATTTATCTGTAAAATCAGCCATCTTTTTGAAAGGCAAATCTGCTGATTATCTGTGAAAATCTTATAAAAAGCAATACCTTAACTTAGTCTTGCAAAGTGATAAGGTGGCCTTTTAAGAGCTGCTAGCTCAGTCATACCAGCATTTTATTAGAAATAAATCTCGAGTAGCTTGTCTTACTTTTCTTTAAATTTGCAAGGTTGCTTCTGATTTTTCTTTGTATTTCAAAGGCATGAATTATGCAGTTCTATTCAAAAATCTTAACTAAAACAGTTAATTCTATTTAAATTAATTTTCCAAATCATGTTCCTGCTCAGGAAGAACGACGTTCATTACTATTAAATACTGTGTTTAAACTAGTAGTCTCCTAAGCTTTTTGTAGCTGAGTTTGATTATACCTTGAAAATGCTGGTGGTTCTTAGCTGCATCAAAATATGTCTGTCAAAAGGTTTCTCATGGCTGCATTAAAACTGAGGAACATTATGGCCTGTTTAGGGGTGGGGGGGTGTGGGGTGTGATGGTGTCCATTTGTGTGTTTGTTACTGTTGCTGAAGTCTGCAGGCACTTAACTAGCAGTGAAGTCCTATGTTTACACAGGCATTGCTTGACTTCAGGTCAGTGTGAGACACCAGTATGAAGAATGGTTCCACAATCTTTGCTCCCAGTTCCAGAAAAGGTCAAAGTTATGATACACAAGTACACTGCTTCCTATATAAGGAACTTGTTCAGGTAGCAGTTGCCCACATGAGAGGACATTTTGATACAATGCAATTAGCCTGGAACTGGGTGTGACTTTCCTGATGATCATAATTATGGAAGCAATACATACTAATATTTAAAATGTTTTTTAATAATTTTATTGAATTGATGAACGGGAGGGGTATTGCATGTGGGTTTTATCTTAAGTGTGAAAACTTTGTCATTTCAATAGACGTCTTTAACCACTGTGCATTTTTAATTTAGAAAAGGCATAAAGCTGATAATGCCGTGAACAAGAAACAAACTCAAGGTAGGAAATTTTTTTAAGCCTATAAATTGTGGGTTGGGAGGAGTGTTGTTTTTTTAATTTTTTGCAGATGGTAGTAGTGTAATCTGAAGTGCTGAGAGGTAATTGAGTGGGAAATTGCTTATGCAGATTACTTCAAAAGTTTAAATCTAAACAGTCACAATAACAATTTGCAGTCACATTAGCCCCACCAAGTGGAATATGCTCCAAGTCTTTATGAGGTTCCAAAGGAACTTCAACATTTACTCATTTAACATAGATGATGCTGTAGCTGTTAAAAGGTTGTAATCACCACTGTATTTAGTAGGCCTAGATTATGATGAAAAATATATGCATTTTTAAGTACACAAATCATATTTTTATTTTGACCATCAAATCTTGAACAATTCAGTTTGAAAAACTCTACAATTGGAAGGATAAGTTATAAAGTGGAACTATATGCTGCTTCAAAACTGTGGATAAAGATGAATGGAGGGGTTTTTTTGTTGTTTTGGTTTTTATTATGAAATCAATGTAATGGTGTGATTAGAGATAATGAAATATTTAGGTAGTGTACCCAACCCAAAACTTTGGAATGTTGGTGTTTTGGTGGTTTTTTTGTTGTTGTTTGGTGTTTTTTTTTAATGAACAAAACAACTATTAAATCAGAGGATTATTTTAGCTCAGAAAGTGAGGCAGATACTAGCTAATATATCCTAAACACCTTTGTCATGTAGGAAGTCCAAGTTTAAGTTCCTGTTTTGCTGCTTTTCAACTTTTCATGTTACTTGTTCTGAGGTAGGCATCTCTTGGTAGAGCTGGTCCTGGTTTTGTAAACAGGAGGAATAAGCATCATGTGAATTTGATTGCAGCAAGTATGAAAAATACCACAAAGAGGAGAATCTTATACAGAATCTTTTTCAAATAAGTAACAAATGTAAATTCTAGTTTTTTAGGGAGGGATGTAGTCATTGACTAAAGATAATCAGAAATGTTTATCACTGCTAACCACTGGAAATGTCTCTAATTTAAAAACATAAATTCTAAAGCCCACGTAAATTGTACATAAGTTTTGAAGCTTACTGTAAAATTTATGGAGGTTGGAGGGGGAAGATAACTTATGAAACTACTGAGCATGTAGCTGAATAGGACAAGGTAACAAATGTATTGACTGAAAGTACTGGGAATAGGAATCTTAAGAGAACAGGCCTGGAGAAATAGGTGATGTCTTATCTATACATAAAAACCAAAGGAAAACTTAATTTAGACATCCAAAATTCTTTCATCAAGTGTTCATAGCTTTTGAGATTTCAACCAGCAGTTTTAGGTAGCAGTGAATCTCGATTCTAAATCTGCCTTTTGGTTTTTTCTACTGTTTGTCTGAGTGTACAGAGTTTTAAATCAATAAAAGACTTGTTTTAATGTCTTTCCTGCCTCTTCTCCTTGGTTGCCTCTCATTAGGCTCTTTGGTGACTGTTTGTAAAATTCCTGAATGTTCCATGCATGCAAAAGAGTATCTTGGAAGTTGAAAGTGTAATGAGGATACATAAAATATTACTAGTACTGAGAAACAAGTTTCTTAAGCTAATGTAGGATTCACAACATCAATCCTAGCATACTGTCAAAGCAATATTTAAATGTATTGTCAAATAGAGTCCATTTTCAAAGCAATAATTGAAAAGTTAATCAGTATGGTACCCTTTTTTCCCTATGTATTCAGCAGTCCTGTAACCATGAAAAGTTACATTACATAAAATGTGCTTAGTACATTATATATCCAGCTCACCTTCTATTGCCTTTTAAACATATGAAATTGTTAATGAAATGACAGGTGCATGTATAGATTCTGTATATGGGTTTCCCTTCATCTGTCTATTCCTTAAAGACCATCTGTATTTCAGTTAACCTTACATAATTAACTTTCCAAATTTCAATTACTAAAAACCTTTTGCGGAGGATTTTGATTTATTAGGCTGCATTAGGGATGATTTTTGTTACCTCAGGCTGCATACATACACAGCAGGACACTGTCAGACATTCTGATGTAATGAAATGTGTATTTCTGCAGTGTGATGAGGTTGTCTTGTGTGGGGCAGATGGAACATGCTTTTGAAAGTTAGAGACAGCTAAAAATGGGAAATACAAATGTGAAAGCCAGGCTGCAGAAGACTTTATGGCACAAGTTCTCTTAACTGTTATATAAAAGGAACATAGCAACACCACTTCTTTTTTTGGTCTTATAAAAAATGGATTTAATTGAATGTCAGTATATGTTAATTTTGCTTAAAAGTCACTGGATCGAGCTAGGGTTAGAGCACTCTTGAGGTTTCAGGTGTCTCATGTTTTCATGAATCTGACTCATCCATTTGTGAGCTGATTTTAACCAACTAAACCAGCAGGAAACAAATCCAGAATGCAAAGCTGACAGTTGCCTTCCATTTAGTGGTTAAACGGGCTCATCAAAGTGTCCAACAAACACCAGAGGCAGCACGCACTGAGCAGTGGGGCACACACCTTTGCATGGGATGAGGGCAGAACAGGACCTTCCCTCTGCAGTGGCAATGCTATGTTAAGGCCAGCTCAGCAGCACATGAAACAGCTTTAGGGTGTGTTTCAGCAGTGCAAGTGCTTCTGCAGCCAGCACTTCATAAGAAGCCCTTGGCCACCTCTGGCAGCTTGTAAATAAGACCTGCAGAACTCCACTGGCAGTTATTCTACTATAGCTATTTGTGAGATTTTGTCATCTGGATTTCAGCAAGGTGTATTTTTAATCCTCGTCATTTCTTTCATCTGGTTGGTACAATGGCCCCACAAAGAATATTGCTGGCACAAAGGAATGGAAATAGGTAGTTGGTGGCACAGTTATCAGACCTCTTGGGTGTTCCTTAGGATGCTATTACAACCAGTCCTCGCTTCGAATCTGTCATTTTCCTAGTGAAGAGAAATTGTCCAAACAGATTTTGTATAATAATAAGCTATTTGGTGAGACAGTCATTAAAAGATCTTGCTTACTGACTGAAAGGGAGACTGCTCCATTTACCTTTGCGCTGAGCGTATCAGCACTAATAAATATAGGGGAAGGAAGGGTACATTAATTTATCTCATCCCAAAGAATTATTAGGCAGGTTTGATCATGACTCGCAGAACTGTTGAGATACAAGAAGAGGGGTCAGTCTGGACAGAACCTCAAGGAAGACTTAGATGTAAAGGCTGTATATATTCCCACATTTTGATCCACTTGTTTGAGATCAGCACATGCTTGCATAAGAATTGGATCCTGATCAGGTACTTAAGATAAGCATCCTGACAGTTCGTAAGCTGGGAGACACAGTGAAAGAGAATAATATCTTGGAGATACCTGAATATTGGTACTTGGTGATACATTTTCTTTTCATTTCAGTTTCTTTTTGCACATGAATCTTAAATGGCTTTGTAACTAGGGCTAATAATACAAAGTCACCTTTATTATTCTCTGAAAAGGCAATCTGGGCAATTAACTGGCAAACAAGACATGGTTTTTGTATGATGAGTAATACTTAAAACTAGAGTAGTGGAGCATGCTTGCAGTAGAAATTCCTAGTGCCAGGTGAAACCTATACTAAATCTTCAACGGCATGGGTCGATTTGGGGGATTTCTAGTATATTTATGGAGGAGATGGCTGCAATGGTCCTCAATTTCTCAGACATACCAGTAACAGTATAAACAGCTGAATGCTAAGAAGCCTGCTAGTGACTTTTTATTAATCTTTTTTGTATGAGCATCATCAATATTTGAACTGCAAAAAAAAAAAATTTAATAACTTTTTTTTCCCCACTTTGGAACTTTTAATCCAATTACTCATTTATTTTTAAAAACACCACATTATCATACAATCTGTATCAGATTTAATTAATCCTCAAAACCTGTTAAATGTCCTCATTGACTTTGTAATAGGATTCGATGGTACAAAAACTAATACACAGAACTGTAAAATCGGAATGCTTGACCTGAATTCATAGAAACAAGGCATACTGTAAAATGTTTTGTAAATGAGCTGTGAGTGTATGGCTTTTCATATGGAGTCTAACATGTATCTGTATACTGCAGTTAGAGAATTTTCCAGTTGTACAATCTTTTTTTTTTCTTTATTTTTTTTTCCTTTTTTTCAGTACTACGAAATGGTGCATGGGAGATTGTCCACTGGGAAAAGGTGTGTGTCTGTACTGGTGACTGTTAGAGCATAATGCATATTTGATATTTGCTTTATTTCTCCAAATAATTGTCACTGGTAAGAATTGACTGGTATGATGGGAAAGGTATAATCTTTTGTAATTTATTTTTTGATTGTTAATACTTCTTTCTTAAAATGTACTTTTAAGTCAAATCAGTTTTGATATGAGTAAGGCAAAACTGCTGTTCACTGGTGGACTTTAAGTTCAGTGAAAAATAACTTGAATAATATGATTAACTTGGCAAAATTAGACTGTCCCATAGTAGTATTTGGTGTGCCAAAGCAGGAACTTTTTGGTAACCAATTACTCTGTGTATTCAATGAACTTCTTTGGCTTAAATCTCGAGAACTTTGAAGACTGTTACATAGTGGCTAGGACGTGACTGTTAAAGGTAACTTTATAGGACTAAATGTTAACACTTTATACCTAGTCCCCTAGTTGTATTGGTTTCCATGCCTGAAAACTTCAATGAAAATTGACCCACAGTAATTTGGAGACAAGGTTCAGCTGAAATTGGTTTATATCCTTGGAGAAACAAGGATAAGGTATGTAGCATGATGCAACTGAGCTATGATCTTAGGGGAGATTCATTTCTTCTTTTACTCAGCTTCAGTCTTCCCATAAAGTATTTTACAATAACTAGCAGAAGTAAAGTACTGCATAGAGAGGGTCAAGATTAAAACCGTTTAAAAAACCCAACAGATTTCCGAAGAGTTTCAAAGACCTCTGGGTCACTGAAGTACCTAATACGTTTAGGCTTTTCTAAGTGCGTGTTTCTAACAGTCTTTCTAGCAAATTCAGCAGGTAAATATTTACTGTGCTTAAAACAAAGGGATAACATATTTTGTTTGAGACCATTAACCAATTCCCAGTTTTCTTTCAGGTAGATGTTGGAGATATAGTTATAATAAAAGGCAAAGAGTATATACCTGCTGACACTGTACTGCTCTCATCAAGGTAGAGATGCCCACTGATGCTTACAGTGTAGAGGCTGGTTTCTCTACCCTGCATTTATTTATTTATTTATTTATTTATTTGTGATTGCTCCAAGGAAATAAAGAATAAACAAAAATGCTGCTGTTCTGAAGTGTAGACTTTTGTTTGTTTGGGCACTTATTTAATGCAGTGTTTCTTTAAACTTTGGCAGTAACAGTTTTAAGATTACACTGGCATTCAATTTACCCAGAAGAAAAACTTAATATGTAGTTTTATTGTTGAATATACTACAAAAAAGGGTGGTTCTCATTCTAAAAATTGGACTTCAACTGCCATATTTAATCTGGTTGGCTTTTTGATGTGTGCCTAACAAATTTTATCCTATAAATAAATTAAAATAGATACATTAAAAGGAACTGAAATGATTTTTAATGGATATAATAGCCAGTTTGATAGTTGAATCAGGAAAAAAGTGATTGTGAGATATGAATTATCAAATTAGTGCTGTCTATATGAACTGAACATTCACTTCATTCTCATATATATATAAAATTAATAATTTCAGCACTGAAAGCAAGACTTGATTTATAGCATGCAATGCTTTGATTCTTTTTACATGGACAATCAGAGGTTGTTTATCATCATTTCCTTGGACAGTTTTATTTAAGAAATCCACATCTTATGTGGAAGATGCACATTTTTCAACATCTATTTGATCAGGTCAATAGACAACATATTTTAAGAAATGTTTTAATGTAGATTATTTAAATATGATCCGTAACATTCTGATTTATTACTCTATGTTTATAATGCAATTTCCATGTTTTTTCTGGCACAAGCGGAAGCATTATTGTCAAGTGTATGATTATGAAATAGGTATAAACTCGCTATGATCCCACTGAAGTTAATGAATCCACTCATACGTATAATTAATAAGGTTAGGATCTTACCCTTTTCTGTGACAAGACTGTAGTGGAGACCAATACATTGTTTATTCCATCTTCCATCACATCTCAAAATTAAGTGTTGCGGTTTCTAAAACACTTTTATTAAATTATTATCAAGTGTAAAGTAATTGCTAGATAATACAATAAATTTTCCCCACAGTCTGTCTTCAATGCTAATGTTTGTCATAACTTAGCTGGTTTTGTAGAGAGTATCCTCAATAAACCTTTACTTCTGCACTTTGAGAAGCGTTTATAAATTTCGTTTGTGCTTCTCCACCAAGATCTTCCTAGGCAATACACCATGCAGTAAGAACACCTGTTCTATTGGCCTGATAATAGCTTATGTCATGCTAACCCTAGTGTCTTGCAGGCAGAAATGGTTACATCCTCTCAGACTAGCTTCTTTGAAATCTGAGTAAACTCCTAAATTTGAGTCTTCGCCTAGATGTCTTCCCTTGTTTGCCCTTTTGGATTGGGAGAAAACTTGCATCACAGTGTTCTCCAGTTGTAGTTTACACACAGAAAAACACCAGCTGCCTGCAAACCCCTCTCTCTGAGCCTTGTCCCCCCTCTAAAGGAATCCTACATCATGTGCTGATAAATTAAGTAACAGCTGCTACTGGACTTGGCCAAGATCATTACCTCTTTGTTCAACCTCTCTTTACTGCCCTTGTCAGAACACACTGTCCCAATTATGACTGTTACTTACCTTGAATTTTACTGTTAGGTTTTTTTTCAGGATCCAGTTCGCAAAGGAGATGCCTTGAATCATGATTGCTTTTCTGGGCCCAGTTCAGGCATTTTTTTCAGCTACAGCTTCCTTCTTAGTTGTATTGCTAGGGTCCTGTTGCAGCCCTCCTTCCGGGAGAGGACCCTGTGCTATTACATTACCCTAATGTGCTCTCCTTCTCCACCTCTCGTCTCCATGTGGCCAAGAAGTCTCCAGGAAGACAGTTTCATCGATTTTTGCATTCCAGGCTTTTATTGGTCCCCAACTACATTTTAGGTTTCAATAGCAATGAAAGCTTGTGGGTCTGGTTTTAATTCAAACTAATAACACTTGGTTCTTTTTACTAGCAATAGCAGTTTCTGGAGAATAAGAGGCTTTTCATTATTTTAGGAAATGATAATCTCTTACAGTGGAAGGACACAAACCTCTGAGGTTTGATTGTGTTTGGTTCTTGCTAATTCAGCGTGCACAGAAATCTGCAAAGATGAAGCAAAATACAAAATAATTTTCAGCATGTCTACATAGAAGAGGTTCTTATCACCTGACTTTTTCTGAAAGTTGGTGCAAAATCTTTTGTTGTGACTTTTATTTTTATAATTTATGTATGGAGTGTCTAGAAACTTTGTCAGTTGAGAAATAAACATAACAGCTTTTTATTTTTACTGTACAGTGTCAATGTAATCTGCAGCTTAAAATCAGTGCATTAAAGTAAAATCATATACTTGAGTAAAAATGAAAGTATAGCTCTTTTCTTTCTGACCTGATTAGAATAGATTTTGAAAAAATTGTCATCAGACATTTTAATTAACATGTATTGTTTGAATAATAATTTCAAATTCTGTCTTTTTGTCTTTGTCTATTTTTGTTTTGTTTTTTCCATGTCACTTATTTTTCTGTTCTAATCATTTTCAAACTGGGATGTGTAGGTGGCAGTAGGGGAAGTAGTGAAAGTGACCAATGGGGAGCATCTCCCAGCTGATCTCATCAGTCTGTCGTCAAGGTTAGAATTAATTAGTTGCACAGGAAATGTGTATGTGGGTCCTCATATACCAAATATGAAGAACACTGCCATGTTGATACTTGCTTTGCTGTTCAGCTTGCTTCAACAAAACCCACACATTTATAAAATTAGACGGGGTTGGGCTGATAAAAATACAGATCATTAAAGTGTTAACACTCCAAGAAATCCAAATTTCAGTCCTCTTTGTTTTTTCACTACCTCTATGAAATTTTGCCAGACAAGTTGTCATTGAATAAACACACAGTAAAACACCAGGATAAATAATTCCTTGGATAAAATTAAGAATATACATGTTTATACCAACCCACTATTTTCAGCAAAGAATATAGTTATAATGTTGGTAGGACTGGTAGAGGACCCTCTGCACAAACTGGATGTTGCACAATTTCTGCTGCATGCAATGGCAAAAGCAGCACTGTTCTTGTGTACTGTGACAAAATGCATGTTTCTTAGACATGTGAGCTTTATGCTGTTGTCTGCACTGTTACCGCACTTCGTTTTTCCCTAACAAATCAATGGGCCTGCCTTGATCTAATTGTAACGTACTTACTTTGGAGGTCACTGCTGTCTGCTACGGTAATTACAATTAAGCATGTGTCTCACTTGAAATGGCTTTGCTGCCTTAGTCTGTTTTAAAAGTGCTTCATGGGAATACTGTTCGTTTTTATATTAACCAATAAAAATGCTAGAATTGTAATAATATATTGTACAGGTAATTCCATCCAAACAATCTGAGTAGAAGTTATTTACATTTTTAGAAAAGTTTGCCAGGAAACACTAGCCTGAAAGCAATATATCACATTTTAATGCTTTTGCTTTGCAAAAATGTGTTAGAATAACCTACTTAATTTTATCCTGCAATCAGAAGGCACTGTTGCATCAAGAAAGAAAATTCTACAAGGTACTTGGTGCTTGAATTTTGTGCTACAAAGAAGGAAAATATTTGAAGCCTTAGAGTGGTGTGGAGAGTAAACATGTATTCTTTTAAGTTGTAAGGGATTTTATGACTCATTTCATCCTTTACAGGATCGAAAGTTCATTCTGTTGTAGATATAAGTAGTAGGTGCTCTGTCGTCATGCCCAGAAAATGGGAGCTGACGAGTACTTAAGAAATCCTGACCTGTTAGAGAGGTACTTGTTTATTGTCTTCGTGAAGAAAAGTCATGTCCTTCTGTATCTCTGTTTTTCTACTTAACGGATCTATAATGGTTGTAATATGAGTTAAAGTCTAAAAGTATGTTACAAAATATAAAATTGCTGCTGTGTTACACATCAAAAAATTATATTGAAAAAGTTTATTGCAAGGAATAAGCCATTTATCAGTATGTGTTAAATAGATTAACTATTCAAATAGTAATGTCCTGCATAAACTTAAAACATTTAATTTATAAAAAAAGCCTTTTAAATTTCTTAGAGGACATATTTCAAAAACTGCATTATGTTATCCATAAATAATACTTTTTTTTTTTTTAATAAAAGAAGCCTTTACACAAAAACTTTCATGTCTAAACTACTGCTGCCTAAAGTAGTGGGCACTTTAATTTAAGATACATTTGTGTCTGTATCTTAATCTTATGGAAAAACATGGAAAGCTTTTGCTGCATACAGCATTTTTAGCATTAAGTTTTTAGGAAAAACTGGTGTTTTTTTTAAAGCAAACTTTTCTGAAAATGTAAAGTACTGTTGTTTTTTACAGATGTGCCTGTAAATTACTCTAGTTCTGAAGATTTGATGAAAGAAAAATCTGATTGCATAAATTGGTATTAAAAGACTACAGACAGTTTGTGAATGTTGACAGTATAACTTAAAATTAAGGATTTTCTTTTCTTAATAGTGAACCACAGGCTATGTGCTACATTGAAACATCTAACTTAGATGGTGAGACAAACTTAAAAATTCGACAGGTATGAATTTCATTTTTGAGAATATTGCTAATATTTTTATCTATTATTGCTTATAAAAACATTTTTATTACGTTAATGGCTGTTTTAGAAGGCTGAAATTACAGTGGTTTGAATAAAAAGCTGCAGGTTATTGGCATCATAGGAGTTTTTGCTGAATTAATCAAGTGGAAGGAATGAATGTACTGCTAAGCCATGCTTTGTACTTTGTTTGGGGGCTTTTTCTTTGGGAAAATAGGTAGAAATATTAGTAGTTTGGGTATTGGTTTTATTTCTAGAGGATAGGTGATAGAGAAACCCTGCAGAAAGAAGCTGATAGTGCCAGTATTACCCTTCAGAGGCAAGAAGGGAATAGTATTTTTTGACTGAGTGCATTGTCTGTATTCAAGGACATTCTTGCTGAGCTGTATGACTGGTTATGACCCTGTCTTCATCATGATGTTGTAAGATACCAAGGTGACTTTTCACTGTCTTAGCATCCAGGAGTGTCAGCGAAGTGTTGCATTCCCATTTTGCTTCCATAGGGATTCTGGTTTTCTAATCTTGCACCATCATATAATACATATATGTTGGAAAGTGAGTCTTAGTGTCATGACAAACAAATTTTGTTTACAGGGTTTGCCACTAACATCAGACATAAAGGACATTGAAAGCTTGATGAGTCTTTCAGGCAGAATTGAATGTGAGAGCCCAAACCGACACCTCTACGACTTTGTTGGAAACATCAGACTGGATGGGCATGGGTATGTAAATCCGAGGCAGACGACCTCTTAGGAGATTCAATTTATCAGTAGATGAATATTTGTTATTAAACTACTCAAGTTAAAATATGAAAAGTAAAGTCTTTATTCTGCTAACACTAGAGAAGAAAACTTTTTTCTACTGTATTCTTTATTCTTAAAAAAAAAAAAAAAATTGAGAGATAAAACCTTACTTCTAATGTCTAGAACTTCAATTTTTGTACTAGTTGACCTTCAGAAAGTAATAGGTATTAATAATAGATGGGAGTGCTATTCAAATTGTAATAGTCATGGAATGTGTATCTAGTAACTACCTTCTCTGTTAAGTTTCTATTATAGAAGCTGAATAGAAGTAGTTTCTTGTCTGGTTGTTTTTTGATTTGGTTATTTTTTTAATTTAAATTGTTGTTTTCTTCTGTTTGTCTAAATATGGAGTGGAATTGAGTCCATCACTGTATACCTCAAATTCTTCTAATTTGGTACCTGAAAGACATTTAATACCTTAGCTCACTGAAAGTATGTTTTTGTAATAATAGACTGCCTTCTTCTAATAGGTGCAATTACAACATATATGCTTGTAAAACTGCTTCAAAAATTCTTAAAATACTTAAGTGCTTAGTAAATACTGATATTTAGAGTCTCCTATGAATTTGAACTGAATGTGATGCATTAGGAGTATAAAATTCGTTGCTAGATCCAGAATTGTTGCGTCTTTCATTCCCAAAGATTTACAGGATTTCTTTTTTATTTGGTAGGCATGTATTTTTCCATATACAATATTATTTATGTTTGTGGTTTTAGACTGATATATATAGTACTAACTAATTATTAAATACCTTTTTTTTTTTTTTTTACCTCCTTCCCCTTAATATTCCATGTTTTATTTACTGATTTCTTACAGATGCATTCCGGGAGTTTTCAGTCGCAAGAGTGTGGATCTATTATAATTCCACTGTACTTGTCGTTAAGAAGAGAAAAACATTTACCTGTAATTCTTCTCTGAAGGTAATAGTTATAATAGATCCACACATTCATCCTTCCTCCCTGGCTAGAGGGAAAAACGTACTTTTCTTTTCAATCTAATTACTTAACTTTAAAAATTGATTTTAAAAAAGAAACATGGAATGTGCTGATGGCCATTATGCCTGAAGAATGTGTAGGAGCACGCCATCTGCTGGTCAAGCAGTTTTTCATTTGGGAATATTTTGAACATAGTTCCTGTGCAGTAGAATAGTTCCAAAAGTGTGGCTCTAATATAATATTTACCTTCAGTGAAAAAGAATTGCAGGTAAGTAACTCTTTTTGGATCCTGATCTTATTCCCAACTCTGAAAAATCAGAGATGAGTTCTGTTTCTTTCCATATTAGAGGTAGCACAGATTCATCTAACTGGTAAACATTCAGATCTTTAAGACCTTCCTACCAGATTGTGTAGCTGCAGCTGTTACAATTTCCACTTTCTCCACTACCATCTTAAAATTTTGCAAAAGCAATAGAGAATACTTAAAATGTATTTCCTTTTTCTTTCTTTTTTTCCTTTAGGGAACTCATTGGATTGCCAGAAATATACCTGGTTGACCTTTTCAGTCTTTTCTTTTTCCCTTCATGGGAGAGAACAACTCAAAAAAAAAAAATGGTTCTCTTTCCCCTTTTCCTTTTGAATTCTCAGTATTCAAGGAGATAGAGCCTCACTACAGTTATTTTGCCTTCTGGCTAAATCTGTGGACAAAGAGGCCAAAAAAGTTTTCTTCATATCCTCTGAGTGAGTTAACTTTTTTCTCCAAAGTATACAGCTCTTTGGTATATTTGTGAATATACAGAAGCACCTCAACTTGGTTTTAGTCAATGAAGACAGTTAGCTATAAAAAGAAGAAAAGTTCTTTAGCTTGGGTAAATGTGAAATTATAATTAGACAATGTCTCAGAGAGGAAGGGTGAGCAAGTTAAAAACAAGGGCAGATATTTTTTATACATGCCTGAAGTAAATGTTCTCCTGAAGACATTCTCAAACAAAATTCTGGGTAAGAGTGAAGTATGAAGATGTTTTGGTATGCAAGCTTTCAGATATGTCTTGGGAATTACTAGCTCCTAATATACCCTTGACAGCTCTGGCAGGCAAATATACTGAAATATTTCCCCATTCAAAACATCCCTTACTGAATACAACTCAAATATGTTGCTGACGAGTCATTAGTTACGTAGCATACAAGAAGAATCACATGAGTTGGAGCAGTTTTGAGAAGACTGAGGCCAGGAAATAGTGATTTAAGAGCTCCATCAAGCCATCATACCATCTCCTTATTAGAGGATCAGCAGCATTACACCAGGTAGATCTGGGCATTCTGTGCCCCTGGTTGTGTTGCTGTCTGTTTTCCTTTCCTTGGTCTGTGCACTAGGTCTGCTGGAGACAGGTCCCATTGGCTATTGTCCCAGTTCTCTTCTGATTGTCTTCCCAGTAACAGACCCTTGAGGATAAATTCCTGTCCCAAGCTGGACAGTTGGAGAATTTGAGAGACAGTGTCCCAATGGAAAAAAAATGAATCCTGCAATAGAAAAGACTTTACTGCATATTCTTCACAGTTTTTAAGAGAAAACAAAAAGGGAAATCAGGAAGTTGCAAGAAGTGTTAAAGAACTCCCCTGACTCTTCAAGGAACACAAAAATTTAGAGTGGAAGGTTTTGACTTTTGTCTTTCTAGACCCTCTTGAATTAGTAGAGGGGTCAGAAAGTCTTTCGGCCTTCCAGAGAAGGCCCATAGTTGAAAAGGTTTCCAATCTGTCTGTGGGAGACTTGCATATAAACAGAGAAAGTTATTTTTCTTTCTCCTTCTGTGGCATTCATGATAGTGTTAATGGACTAATAATACCTGATTATTCTTGGAATGACAGGTAATCCATTCCTTATCTGAACTGTTTGCATGTTGTCTGATGGATGGTCCAAAACACTTAGAATGATTCTGCAGATAAATATAAGTTCAGAAACAATCTTTGACAACAACAGGAGTTTCTCTTAATGATTCTTGTGTAATTCAAACCTGAGCACTTCCTTTCATACTTGAAAGGACATTTTTTCTCTTAATTTTGCCATGATACGAAAAAATCTTAAATACAAGAGCAACACAGGTCAGATTTAGAAAGCACGTAAATCTCAGTATGTTTTGTATTTCTGTTCTCTTTTCTGATGCCTTCTTTTGATAAAATGCCTACACCTGGAAATATTATCTATGACAATATCATTCAACATTTCAGTTGCTGAAATATACTTAGTGGGGAGAATGATTCCTTAAACAGCCAGTTTGCTCCATGCTAGTTTCCTCAAAAGTGGACTAAGCTGTAGTGGGGTGATGGTTGTTAGTTGTTTCAGTCTTTATGGAAAAGCACTCAAATATTTTTCCAGATTTTTTTTTCCCCCTAGTTTCTGCAAGAACTGATTCCAAAAACTTGTGTTGCCACTGGTAATTTTAGGGGAGGAAGAATGTGTTGTTTCCTCTTTACTTGCACTCTTTGAATCTTAAAAGCTTGTGTGTGAGAGGAAGGAAGGAGACATGATTAATTCAGAGGAAATTATTACTTGAAATTTACTTACTGAGACTGACTTCATGCTCTGTGCTACCAAAAGTGTTACCAATCATTGTGGCTTCCTCAGACTTTTTATAGCCTGTATATCCAATATAGTTGCTGTCAACTATATTGGTTTCAAACAACTGTAGAGATAATAGTTTTAGATGAGAATGCCAAACAGTAGAGCACTATTGACAAGTCTTAACCGCTAGCTGGTATTTATAGGAAGAAAAGTGCCAAAATAGGGTATTGTTTGTCCCACGAAAAGAGTAATAATAATCTATATTTTTTCTATTTTAAGAAAAACCTGAGCTGCAGTATATGAATGAAGTCAGCTGTCTGAATTTTAGACAGTTAAGTGTTTCCAACGTTTTTTGAGGTTTTGTTGCTTATTTACTCAGTGCAGCTCTAAAAGAGTAGCACAAGTAAATTTAGCTGGTTTTGCAATTTAAAGAAGGTGCAGAAAATATGTTGTGAATTTTAAATAGTTAATTATGTTCATAAAGGATGATTATTTCGCTGCAAGAGTGGATTAGGTTGAGAGTTCAGAAGATTGTTTAATTTGAAAATTGCTTTGGAAGATTTTTGTAAGAGTAGACTTGGAAAAAAAGCTTCATAATCATAAATCACAGAATTATGATTTATGATCACACTAAAAAATAGCCTTTTTTAGTTTCAGTATGCTTACTTAGTAGTACCACATCAAAATTAGTAGTCATTAGGCAAAATGAAGTGGTAAGTAATATTTTACATACTTAAATTTTTAGGCTTGCTTTTAACTGACAAGTTTTTTCTCCGTCAACAGTCCCCAAAAGTTAACTATGAAAATTAGGTTCCTAGCATATTTACTGTCTAAATTTTGAAAATTAGTTTTAACAACTGATGGTTATGTTTATTCATTGACATTGTTTTAATGATGAATACGAAACTCCTTCCTTCTAGTACTATTCCATTGGGAGCTGATCAGATTCTTCTACGAGGAGCTCAGTTGAGAAATACTCAGTGGGTTCATGGGATAGTTGTCTATACAGGACATGACACAAAACTTATGCAGGTATGTCACTTAGATTTTCTTTAACTTACCTGTTTTGTTACCTTCTTATGCCATTTACACAGCATAGAAAATCCTGCCAGAGAACATGGCTAGACTCAACACAGTAGCTAAAATGTCAGTAATAGGGCACCTTTCTTATGAAGTAAAACCTTAGCCACAGAATAGTTTTCCATTAAGCATATTTGTTGATTCTGTTTTGTAACTTGTGTTTTGAAAACTATTTGATTAGCAAGCTCGATCACTGTAGTTTGGCTGTTCATCTTTTTTTATTTTTGACTGCTCCTAAAACTGTCCTCTTGTGGAGCTTTCTTTGAAGTATAAAGGTAAACAGTCTTGTCAGAAAACAATGAAACTTCATTTGCAAAATGACATGGGAAAAGAACAGCTACAGTATTTATTAAAATGGTGGATTTGAAAGAATATTTATAAAAGAATGCAGTAACATGTTTTTTAAAAAGTGAAAAGTGTGTACAGCTTTTCTAATATTTAGTAGCCACTGTTGGTTTATATCTTTTACAGAATTCAACAAGTCCACCTCTAAAAATGTCTAACGTGGAACGAATTACGAATATTCAGATTTTGATTCTGTTCTGCATCCTCATTGCTATGTCTTTGATCTGCTCTATTGGTTCAGCTATATGGAATCGAAGGCATACTGGAAGAGACTGGTATCTTGATCTAAATTGTAAGATGTTGAATAATACATTAATATTTTAGTGTTCAGTTGTCTTTGGTATTTGAAAAGGAGGATGATTACTATCCTTTATGCAGTGTGGTTTTTATCGGTCTGTATCGGTTGTTGACTAAAGTCATTAGGCTAGGTATATCACAGCAAGTATAAAATTACCTTACTGTGCCATATGAGCTCTTGCTAAATTCACCTCCACATCTTTCAGCTTCTACATCCCTGCAGCTTAGCAAGGTCTGTATCAACATTCCACTGGCATAAACAGTCAGCTTCCTAGACATCACGCTAAAGCTATTTTCGGGTATTACCAATAGATTACATTTAAAGCTATAGTGTCTTTTCTGACTTTTTAAACTCCCTCATTCCGGGAAATGATGCTGTGGCTTTAGCATTTTTACTGTATGGGGATCTAACTAATTATTGGCTGCAAACATCAAGTCTTAGCAGACTGCTCCTACAGAAGATAAAACACAAATATCTCATCTAAGATATACTGGGCAGCTGTACTCATGGTGGATGCAAGGCATATGTGATGTTACTTGGGCCTTCATGCCAGCATGCAACATATTGATGTAATTTGACCCTCCATGAGGGAAACAGATTTAAAGAAAGTTTTCATAGATATACTTTATGGTGAATTATTTGTGTTTTCAGAATTTCTCATGATAGACTTAGAGCCTTGTTTACTTAGGCAGTAGAAGCAGAAATAGGCTTTTTGATCCTGAAACAACAGTCTTGAATATAAAGCTGCTGAATGTGGTCATCAAAGTAGGGATTGTGGAGTAGTTTGATCAGTTTTAAAATAAAAATTTTAGAATTCTGATTAAAGGCAGTCTGCTAAAGTTTCTGTTGAACAAAACAGTTGTCTGCATTTATGATTAACTTTTCTTTATTGAGAACCTTGCTTCTTTTCTTTTTGGTGCTGAGGAAGAAATTTATTTAAAGTAAGAAACTTTCGTATTTCCATTGTGAGGTGGAAAAAAGTGAATATTGACAATTTTCAGTAATGTAAAAGAATTGCATTAGATGTGCTTCATCATTTGTTATTTTTTCAGCTGTTTCTTTTCATTGCATTTTTTTCTTTTTTGGGAAATGTAGAAGTTTTCAGAGTACAGTGGTTAGCACAATAGCGAGTAAGTTTAGAAGCTTTTGGGTTTATTCCCCCAAAAAAAAAGAAACATGAAATAGTGGCCGTTGATATTTTCTGTGTTCTTCAAGTGATTATCCTTGTCAGTTTATTGTCTGATACATGTCCCATGATTAAATTGTGTTGGGGTTTGTGAGGTACAGCCTTTAAGGCTAGATTCAGCTCATAGTTGTTCTTGTACCAGGTACTTTTAATATGTAAAAACCAATTTATTCCCTTTCCCTATTATTTAATTTTTATGTGGTAATGAAACAGGTTCCCAGCACCGCCCCATCTTTCCAAATGCTGTTAGCATTTAGATAGAACAATCTGTTGCCCATGGATGATAAAAAAAAGTAGTAACCTTAACAATAAATTTCTGAATATTGTTTTATTTACAAGTCGCAATAGGTATCGAACTTCATCTGATCTTTGTAGTCACTGAGATTATCAATATCACAGTGTATGTTAGCTCTCTGGTCTTTGACTTGTACTTCCTTTGATGCTGGAATTGATACTAACGAAAGTATCCAAAACCTGCTTTCTTGAATCTTAAGAGCAACAACCAGACGCACATTCTGTAGGCAGCAGAAACCTGTCTGAGGCTGCTTTTCTTCAGGTGATCTTTGAATAGAGACAGGCAGGCTACATCTTTCACCCTTTTGCAGTTTTGGAGAGCAGACTGCTCTTCCCCTTCACATCCTCTCTGAAGTGCTACTACTAGAGTTATCTAAAACTTTAAAAGGAAAAAGTAGTTTAAAACTGAATGTTAATATTCACATTTCTAGTTCTATTAGAATTTTGATTAAACTGTGTAATTCCATCTCCTTTTTGTGTGATGTGAATTTACCTTTTTCATCATATTTTGCTGGGTTGAAGAGGGGAGTGGGAATGTGTGATGGTGGATAGGAAAAAGCAACTCATTCCACTGCATGTTTTCCCCCTTTAAAAATACAAAACTCTAAAATGCAGAGTTTAGAATTTGGTTGCTGTATATATATATTCCCAGATTATAATTTTTAAATGTAGCAAAAGAGGGAGTGACTGGTAAGTTTGTTTTTTAGAAACTGGAGAAGATGGCAACAATGTCTAAATTTGAACTCTACTTTATAACAAAAAATCTTAAATCTTATGAAGGTCACATTTCTAGGGAAATGATATTATATTTAATTCTCAAGTTTATTCTTAGACAGAGACACTTTAAAAATCAGCAGTTAATGCAATACTCAATGCACTGTATATGCATACTTTTAAATATGATTTTAAGTGTTTTTCGATTTGTTTTGTCTTTTGGCAGATGGTGGAGCAAGCAACTTTGGATTGAATTTCTTGACTTTTATCATTCTCTTCAATAATCTTATTCCAATCAGTTTGTTGGTTACACTTGAAGTTGTTAAATTTGTCCAGGCATATTTCATAAATTGGGTAAATATTATTTTTACAATATGCATTTACTTCTAAAATCAAATGGTTTACAAGTACGTGAAATGATTGATTGCTTCTTAGTGTATACGGTTTTTTCAGACTTTTTCTCAATGTAAATATTGAAATATGTTGTTTATTTATTAATACTGGAATCTGAGAAGGTAATATTAAATGGGTTTATTGATTACTTCTATACTAGCACCAGTCCTTTTTGGAACCTGTTTCTTGTGCTTTATGTTTTCTTATTAGTAATATTCAGGTATCAGTTTCATCCAGAATGATCAGAAGAAAGTGTTTTGCAGTCCAGTGAAGTTTTGTCCAGTTTCATTTCTCCTTTCTAAGTGTAGCTCAAGTTTTGGTGTTTTTTTCAGTATTTTGCTGATTTTTTTTTTTTTCCCCCACCACCATTTATTGTGGGGTTGGTTTGGTTTTTTTTGTACAGAGCCAGTGTTTGTTAAGTGTTATCTCTAACAAAATATATAAAGATCACTTTGGCTTTTTTTTTTTTAATAGTTTTTTTTTTATTACTTCCTTAATGAATTAGTGGGGGGGTAAAGATGGGTTTACTCTGTTTCTCTGTTTGGAGTGGGGGGTAAGGTATTCTCCTTAAAGCCATGTAAGTGTGTTTAATAGCATGCCTTCAATTTTTCCATTTTTTTTTCACAAATGTAAATTATTCATATAATTCTGAACTCCTTAATCTGATTCCTTGATCAACTGTGTGAAGTGGATTTCTGTGTGTGAGATATGGCATGCAGATACAGAATAAAATGTATATGGAGTAGCAGGTGACGTGTATGCTTAATTTTAAAAGTACAGTTTTTATGAGCCATCAGCTAGTTTTGATTTCTTCATTTCTTTTGTGGTATAGAACAAAGTGTTGACAAATAAGAGAATGCAATTAAATTTTTCCTTCATTTTCTTTATTCTAAAATAAATACTCAACAAAGGCTCACCCATTTTGAATGTGTAAATTGGCAACTCTGTATACAAATCCAAAAGATGGTTTTAACTTCTGTTCCCCCCACCATTTCACACTGTGAGGGGATTAGTTGTCTTTTAGTTTATCTTAATCTTGGACTCTGGACATTATCTTAAACTATTTTCTTTGTGTGTGTGCATGTTGATATAGAGAAGTTGGTCATCTGCAGTCATTGCACTACATTGCCATACTTCACAATGTTTTAATCTTTTGCTGTATAGAAAAATAAACTGATTTATTTTTTAACAAGAAAAAAAAAGCTAAAAATACCCCACCAAACATACCATGTATAATGTACCCTACATTTATTGTATACTCTTAAATTTATCTTCATGATTTTATCTCAAGGTATGTTTGTCTTGCTACTTAGAAATGGCTGGTTGTGTATACAATATAAATACATAAGACTTCTAAGTGTTACAATGTAGTATTTCTGCTTGTTGCTAAATCTATTTTAGATACATTGGTACAACAGCTTTTCAATAATAAAGATCACTGGAAATAATCACTAATATCTCAAAGAATCGTATAGGTTTTTCTTTTAAAGAGGAAATCTAATTTCTTCAGGGGACTCTTGGAAGTGATCTGATTGTGTCTGTGGTTTCCTGTGTTGAAATAATCATAAGTAGATAACTTGTATCATGTTCGGTCTGCTCTTCTACACTTACATTTTCTATTTAGATACTGGATTTTTTTGTAATAAGTTATGGAAGACTATTTTTTAAATATATATGTTTTATTTTTTTTTTATCTGTAGGACATAGACATGCACTATGAACCTACAGACACTGCTGCAATGGCTCGTACTTCCAATCTCAATGAAGAGCTTGGACAGGTAGAAAAAAAATTACTGATTCTAACTTGGTATTGAAATTATTCATGCAGGTTTACAATCTAAATTATTAAACAGCTGTGAAGATTTATTTCAGAAGACTTACTGCCTTAGACTTTGCTTATTTCTGTTCTCTTTCTGTTGTCAGATATTTTTAAAAACACTTTGCAATATGTGGGGAGTTAACAAAAAGAGCAAATCTCTTCTTTGAAATACGTGAGGGCTGCACATAATGAAGGAAAAATTTCCCCCAGGAGATTTTCAGGATTTAAGAAAGGCAAAACTTTGGTGTTGGGGAAAAAAAGTTGAGTTTTCTTTGGTGAAATTCCTGCTTTCCCATTATGCCCACACAATAACAAAACAACAAAAATACAGATGACGCATAAACCTGGCGTACAGGATTTCTTCTAACTGCTGATTTGGCTAAATCATAATCCCTCAGAAACAGAATCTTTAAGTAGGAAATGAAGAATAAATTTTACTAATACATAGCCTTATTAGCTTCATGTATAATGCATTTAATTCCTAATTAAGGATACTGTGATTTTTTTTAATGAGAAATAATTTCTAATTAATTGAAGTTGAAGTTTACCTTTGACTAATAGAACCTTTGTTTCATCACAGACCGTTTTTTTTCTTTATAGATTAACTTTCTTCTTAAGATTAGGTTTGAACAAAATTTAAATATATCACAGATACATTTATTTAGCTTCAGTTTTAAAATATTTAACTAACCGTTTCCAGAGAAGAAGGGTTTATGATGCTAGGGAGATAGGAGACTATGTAGGAAGGAAGATATTTCATCTATTCCTGCAACTTGCCATTCCTGAACTGTTGTATTTTTACTAATGTTTTGGCTTTAAGAAGATATTTCAATGGCAAAAAGAGGAGGTTAGATATGCATACAGACACTCCCCTTTTACTGTGTTGCTTTCTGTCAGAAATGGAACATCATTTTACTAGCACAGCCATTGGTCTTCACTGCTTTCTTGCATTTCAGTAAGTGATGGACAGCTGAGTATACCACCATATGCTGAAGCAAGCTTAAGCTTCCTGACATCTCAGTTGATTGATATGTTTGGAAATGGGTATCAAAACTATGCATCTGCCACATCTATATATTGGTTATTGGTTTGGGGTTTTTTTTCTATAAACTGTGAAGATTGCAGAACTGGTAAAAATATTTAGTGCGTGGATAGTCATGAATTGCATTAAATATGTAAATAACTGCTGAATGTGGATGTGTAATGAATTTTATCATTTAGGTCAAATACATATTTTCTGACAAAACGGGTACTCTGACATGCAATGTCATGCAATTCAAGAAGTGTACTGTAGCAGGAGTTGCTTACGGGTATGTATTTTTATATAATTTCCTTTATGTGTGTGCTTTTCTTTTCCTCTGCCTCTCCATATGTACCCATGTGTTAATACTACAGTTAAAATAAACTTAAGCCTGGCAATATCTAAAACTAGAAGTCAGTTTGTGAAATGTTACTCACAAGAGGTATCATTGCTTCAGTTATGACATCTCTTTTTGAAAGAGGAGTAAAAATAAAGTTTAGAAATCAAAGGCTTGCTGCTATAACACAACTTCCATTGGCATGGAAGCATGAATCACAGTACTGTAACCACCATCCAGGTGGCTTTTATGAATACTATTCTAGTGGCATAACTCCGAATATCAATTCCTATTAAGAAATCTCTCCAAATAAAGGCAAACAAAGCATTTTACTGTTTCTTTGCCAGCAGATGCAGCCAACTCCTTCAACAGAGTTCATAAAAGCCTCAAACTTTGAGGACTGTTTACTTGAGGGAAAAAAAAAAAATAGACCAGTAAGTAAAGCAGTAAGTAAAGCAGAAGCACCTATACTTAAAACGCCAGTGTGGCTTACCAGCTTGTGAGATGCTGGACCTGGGCCAATCTCGGCGCATTCAGTAGCGGTTAATCAGACATCTCTAGCACTAGGTAGAGAGGAGACAGAGGCTTAAAATTAAGTGTTAGGTTTGTGCTAAAGGTGTGATGACTTGGCGTTTGTGGCTTTAAGATTTGGATCCCTTTAAAAATCCTAATTTTCACGAGTCTAATCTAGGCTTTCGGTTTTAAAAAGACTTAGGTCTTTAATGCATTAACCATACTGATAGGGTTTTTTCAGTTCTACTAAAATACAGTCATAACACTGCTATTTCAAATATGTATATAAGTGTGTGTGGTTTTACATACATACATACACACATACATATATATATATATGGCTCTAATTTCAACCACATGAGCTAACTCTATGACTTCAGAGAAACTGCTGTGAACTATTTTAAAGTTCTTTGTGTAGCAGTTTTTAAAGATTAAAAAATACATTAAAGGTCATGGCACTTAAAATCAGTATTTGATAATCCGGTTCAATATTTCTTTGTCTGAAGTCGGTATAGCACAAATTCTAAAAGTTGTCCTTTATGAAACCAAGGTGTGAATATAGATTTTTAGGGAAAAAAAAAAAAACAAATAAATTTTCCTTGTTATACTTTTCAGCTCCAATCCAACCCATTTTGAAAAGACGTAGACCAGTTTTCTGGTTAGCACTGCTGTTTAGAAAGCAGAATTTCTCTTTACAGTGAATAGCCTTACAGCATCTTCTCATAGCTACTCAGAGAACAGAGTCACGCTGTTTTTTCTGTACTGATGCAAATAAGAAGTTGGGAACACAGGAAAGGGTAAAAGTGACTATTCCATTTCCCATGCCTCTTCTTTCGAAGTGTGCTATAAATTGTGGTATGTTTAAACCTGTGTCATCGCAGGGCAGAGTCCTTCATGTGCTATGGCTGTCTGTAGCAACACATGTATACTGAAATATAAAGCATTATTTGCAAATAGGGTAACTGTCTTTATATCTGCTGGTATAAGCTATTAAATAGACAAGCTTTCAATTGAAAAAAAATATATCATTTATAGCATATGGAGCCTCAAGAGAAACATATTTTTGCAATATCTTATTGTTATCCAGGCACTGACAAAATACATTGTTGAAATATCTTTAAAACTTTTTTTTTTTTTTAGTAAATGGATTTCATTAACTAACTTCTTCCTATACTAACCAAATTTTTTAGCCTTTATGATTCTTTTTGCTCTCTCTGTTTCTGTTCTTCCCTTACTTCTTGTGCAGCCATTGCCCTGAGCCTGAGGATTGTAGTATTTCTTCAGATGATTGGTAAGCTCTAAAAATCATTTAGTGTGTGGTGTTTGTTGAAGAGTCAAGCTTAAAACCACTGAGCAAGATTTTTAGAAACAGAGTTGTATGTGAGATATTTTACTCAAATGTTATTTTAGCTTCAAATTGTTGCAGACTGACAATCTTACAGAAATTTATGCCATCTATGGCATATTCTATGGCATTAGGTTGTGTACTCTGGAATAGAACTGCTAATAGGGTCACTGAGTTACAGTACAGTTATTCTATTGACAATTCTGTATAATTCAGAATTGCTTGTTGGGGAAAGTTTTAAAATTTATTAAGGTAGCTGGTATTAACTTCGATCACACTTTTCTACTGTTACTTAGCAATAGGTTAGTAATAATCTAACATGTTGGAATAAAAAGTCCATATTTGGGAGTGAAAAATGTAATAAGTTATTCTTACTATTTTACTTCCTACAGATAGTTTTAGAATATTAGCACTACCTACTTCTTAACTGTATATCACAAATACACTTGGGGTCGACATTAATCTCTTAATGGGGACCTCAGGAAAGTCTTAACTCCTGGCTTCCTTTCAGCTGCCATTTGCATATTGCCTTGTACTACTTCATCATATTTTGTTAAACTATTGTCAGTGCTCTTCAAATTAATCTCAGATCAGGGAAAAAATGTCATTTACTTAAACTATCAGTGTTGTGTTTGTTGAAAGTTACAGCAAGATGTGTCACACAAAACTGTAATGTGGTTTTGTCTTATGTTTAAAAAGTTTGAGGGGAAAAAAAATTGCATTGCTAAAGTAGAATTAATAACTCTTTCTTTGGATTATTAAAAAAAAAAACCCAAACCTGAAAAATATCCTCCACATACACATGAAAAATGGCACATATGCACAGCCCAAAGTCTTAGCTGACCTGAATATCCTCATTTGATGTAGCAGCAAGGTGTTTCTTAGAAAGATGTAGAAGCGTGCTTAACTGTGAAAGTGTTGGTTTGATTAAAATAATGCAGTGCTTACATGAAATTAAGCATGCTTTCTTATAAAATATATATGAAATAAGGCTGGTTTTGGCTTAATACACATCAAAATCTTCATAAGCACATGTGAAATGGATAAACTGAGGCCTGAAGAGTAGTTTAGAAAATGCAGTACTTCCCTTTTATAAGCAATTAGCATATTGTAAATACTTATGAAATAAGATGCTTAAGAATTTTTTTGTATGTAAATCTATTGCAGTTAATAGACTCTGCTTGACAGTAACATTTCTAGTCCTAAAATGACTGAAGTACTTAATTCCAAATCTTTTCAGTATTTTTTTTTAATTAGACAGAATTGTGTTCCAGTTGGACACAACATATACTTACAAAAGTTTTTCCTTTTTTTTATCACTGAGAATCTGGAACATATTTTGAAGTCTCTCTGTTAGAAAGCTTAAAGCAAAACAAGTATAAACCTTAGACTCTAAACAAATTTAATGTATCTGAAGTTGTTAATATTTGACACTTCAAGATCTATTTGCTTTGCATTAAAAAAAAAAGTTTCGGTGAATGAGGATGCTTTGAATTTCTCACTATAATAATACATTTTTAGAAAAAGTAGTTCTTGAGTGGCTCTATAAAAGAGGTACTGCCATTTTAAATTCCTCCACGGTAGTGCAGGACTAAACCAGCTCACTTTTGGGTTTCATGGAGAACCTTTAGACTGCCTTTGATGTATGTGGCTTATTCTTCAACTTAAATCACAGAATGTGTTCACTCTCTTGCAAGATTATGTGATACAAGGCAAGACCCAAAGTAAATGAAAAAAGAATGCTTTCCTCCAAGTGTGTTCACTTTTCAGTACTGTTTCACTGAGATTCAAACTCCTCTGGATTGTCTTAATATACTCAAGTCAGCTGCAGTAACAAGTCTTTCTAGAAGTACCTACAATTTTGAGCTCTCAGCTTCAGACAGAAGATTGTGCAGTTTGAGAGATGTTAGTGTATGACTTTGATTCTCCAGAACCATCTCCTTGCATCTTCTCAGTCCATACCTCACCAGTGTTTCTGTGTCTTCTTTATGTATCTGTTTACTAAGTGCTTCTTCGGTTGTAACAGAAAACAAACCATCTCCATGCAGACTTCCCTGATGTCTGGACTCAGTTTGCTTACTTCTTTCAGATACCAGACTTTCTTTTCTGAAGCATTTGCACACCTATTCCAAAACTGCTGATTTCTTAATAAAATGTGATCTTTTCAGGCGTCTCTTTTTCTGACTCCCTACTGTAATTGCATGCCGGAGATCAGAAGACAAGAAGCCACAGTCTTAACGTTGTTGATATATTCATCCTGCGTTAGTTGAAGACCAGAGAAACTTCCCTGGGTTTAAGTGTATTTCTATAAATCAAAGTTTCTTAGAATTAAGTGAACTTTGGAGATGTCAAACAAGTACCTTGTCACTTCTCACAGTATGTGTTTGCAGCGTTTCTTGTAACAGCTAAAAAACAGAATTTGTGCTTGACCTTAGCACAGTCATGTGGATGATTTGTATATGAATTGTTAAGAATATGCTAATGATCTCTTTTCTACTGATTTGTTTTTAGGCAGGGCTCACAAAATGGAGAAGAAAAACCATTTAGTGACTCATCATTACTGGAGAATCTTCAGAGCAATCATGTAAGTTATATAGAAACAATTACCATTGTTTTGTGAAATCAAACCCACTGCTTTCTGTAAGTCAAGATTATGTCCTTTGAAGGAAAATAAATAAATTATATGTTTACATAAGATGTAAATGAATACTTGACCTCATGAATACGTTTATAATTGTTTGTTGTCAATACATGTTAGATACGGCTTTTTTTTTTTTTTTTTTAGCTTTTTTCTTGGAAATGGTATGATTCAGATTCTGTGAGTCTGAAATATAATAGTCTTACATTCTTCCTTCTGTGGGTGTTTTAATGTTATTCATGTTGCCCATAAGATGTCATGACATCCGTCAAAGCTTTCAGGATCAGTCAAGTTAACTTTTGTCCTGACATGACTTAGAATTTCTGTGCCCAGGCTTAGACAGGAGTTAACCATATACATTGTTTTTGTGTACATGCTTCCATGAGGTTAGATCATCAGTTCAGATGTTGAAATGAAATAGCCATTCTAGAGGCTGGTATTTACCCTAAAAAGACAATACATTTCACAGAAAGTCAATAGCTTAGTTTATGATTTGACAAAGCAACAGTACCATCATTCCACTTTGTCATTTGTACAAGGGATGTTTTTGCCTGGTCATAACCAACAGCACCTACCTTTAATAGTGTAACTGTTCTCTTTTTGAAGAGTGTAAATAAATTACTCTTTCTTTACTCTTTCTTTAATTTTTTTTCTTCTCAGGAAGATAATTTCAGGGTAACTGACAGACTGAAGCATTTTATTACTAAAGCAGAGGGGGCTTATACTTACTGCTTAGGCTATTTTAATCTTCAATGCTAGCAACAGACTGCTCGGAAGAGGTATTGTCCTGTTACTGCTGTTCTCTGGAGAGAGCACACTTGGTGTGCAACTGGCTGAATCTTGAAAGTTTTCTGGTAGATATGTATTATTAAGTATATATAATGTGAGCATAAAAGCTATAAAAATGTATCTGTATACATCTTAAAGTTAAAATTTCGGGCACACATTCAAAGAGAGATTTCACCACTGTATGTTAAATGTATTCTGAAGCAGTTTGGAAAAGAATGTGTAATTCAGGCTTCTGAATGCATCTTAGAGGATCTGCAGGCCCTCAGTGGGAGAGGATAGGAGCCTGCTTCCATTAGTGTTTCTGCACTGTGGAATTAACTTAGGTTTTCAAAGATTATTGTATTTTATAGAGTAATTGTGATGTTATCTTCATTGTTACCAAATCATAAAATCATAAAATTGTTTAGGATGAAAAAGACCTTTAAAATCATTCAGTCCAACCATTAACCTAGCACTGCTAAATCCACCACTAAACCATGTCCCTAAGCACCTCATCTACATGTCTTTTACATACCCCCAAGGATGGTGACTCAACATCTTCCCTGGGCAGCCTGTGCCACTGTTTCTTTTAGTGAAGCAATTTTTCCTAATATCCAAGCTAAACCTCCCCTCGCGTAACTTGAGGCCATTTCCTATAGCTTGTTACTTGAGAGGAGAGACTGACACCCACCTCACTTTCAGGTAGTTGCAGAGAGTGATAAGGTTTCCCCTGAGCCTTCTCTTCTTCCAGACTAAACACCACCAGTTCCCTCAGCTGCTTCTCGTAAGACTTGTGCTCCAGGCCCTTCACCAGCTTTGTTGCTTTTCTTTGGACACGCTCCAGCATCGCAATGTCTGTCTTGTACTGAGAAACCCAAAACTGAACACAGTGTTCAAGGGATGGCCTCACAATATAATAAATATGCTACAAAAACAACACCTTTGATTGAGGTGGGCAGTTGCTTTAAGCTTATTTAAGGGGAATGCTGGCATTTCTCTTGAATATCCATTCAGGAGTCCATTCATTTTGCAAATTTCAGCTATACTAATGTTTTTAGCTAAACTAATGTTTTGTCAATAACAATTAACTAATTTTCTTATAAACGCTCTTTTCCCCTCTTTTGGCTAAATCATTTGAAATTGTTTCAGCTTTGTAGACTCTGAAGTGCCTGAGACATTCATTTAAATGTCTTCCTTTAAAAGCTGACTGCCTGACCCTGCAGCATTTTCCACATGATTTTGAGGTTTGGTTGCTACATCTTTGTAAAGGTTCTTAAAAAGTGTTGTCAAATACAGTATTAAACAAAAGTAATGTAAAAAGGAATATTTCTAGTAAAAAGCCAAGTTCCAAAGAGACGTCAGTGAATAAAGAAAAATTCTTTCAATACAGCATTCAGACTTACCTTTCCTATAAAATGCTTTTTGAATTATTAATTATTATTATTAATAGGTTTCTAGTTATCTGCTTTTGATTGCTATGGTAGCAAATGACACCGTATTGTATGTATATAGCCAGTATTGAAGTACAACAGCAAGAAGTTATTCTGCATGCTAAAATTATCATACAGATAATATCTGTTTTGTTTAGTTGTTGGTAGTTTTTAAAGAAGAGGGTAAAAAAAAAATCTTTCATTAGATTTTTCTTGACTGTTACGTGTCATAGAATCATAGAATGGGTTGGGTTGGAAAGGACCTTAAGATCATCTAGTTCCAACCCCCCTGCCATGAGCAGGGACACCTCACACCGTGTTGCTCAAGGCTCTTTCCAGCCCGGCCTTGAACATTGCCAGGGTTGGAGCATTCACAACTTCCTTGGGCAACCCATTCCAGTGCCTCACCACCCTCACTGTGAAGAACTTCTTCCTTATATCCAATCTAAACTTCCCCTGTTTAAGTTTAAAGCCATTACCCCTTGTCCTACCACTACACTCCCTAACCAAGAGTCCCTCCCCAACATCCTTATAGGCCCCCTTCAGACACTGGAAGGCTGCTCTGAGGTCTCCACGCAGCCTTCTCTTCTCCAGGCTGAACAGCCCCAACTTTCTCAGCCTGTCTTCATAAGGGAGGTGCTCCAGTCCTCTTACCATCCTCGTGGCCCTCCTCTGGACTTGCTCCAACAGCTTCATGTCCTTTTTATGTTGAGGACACCAGAACTGTACATATCTATTACTACATTTCAGTTGGTTTTGGTTGCTTAATCACATTGACATTCTTCTTCATTTTTTTCTTTTTCTTTTTTTTTTCTTTTTAGCCAACTGCACCTACAATATGTGAGTTTTTGACGATGATGGCAGTGTGTCATACAGCAGTTCCGGAAAGAGAAGGTGATAAAATTATATATCAAGCAGCATCTCCAGGTGAGATTCAAATAACTGAGTGAACATACAATAAAGTATTCCATTAACTCAGCAAGGAAATTTTACTAAAGATTTGTTTGGGTTTTTTTAAATATCTTCCAAAATTAACAAAGGATATATCCCTCAAGAAAAAAGGAATGGGTGTCAGCTAAAATCAGTTTTATCAAAAAAGGATTTAGATTTCTCTAATTTGCTATAGAAAATAAATATGAATGTCTTGTGGATTATGTAAGGACAAAGGGTGATTAACCGTACAGGTGGTGTGAGACTGCTGTGGAACTCTGAAGAACTGCTGAAATGCAGATAGAAATCAAACCAGGAGGAAAATTGATGTCCTTGCTTGTGAACCTGTTCTTTACTTGGTAACTATGATTTAGAGCAGAGACCGTGTTTGTAATCAAAAATGAAAACTATTTTTAATAGACTAAAAGCTGTGATAAAGCTCTACTAGAGAGTGAGAGAAGATCATAGTGCAAAAGGTCTAGTTCAGGCCTACTGTGGTTCATAGGCAATTGTTGAATTCGGGAAGTGATGAAGCAAGGTAAAATAATTAAAATATGCTCAGCTCTGCTGAGCTGATGTATTATGACAGATTATGATGGAAGAAATGGTATGAAGTGCAGAGTCTCCACCCCTCATCTTCCCTGTCTGCCCCAGTTCCTAGGTGGTTATTTCTCTAAATTCTGTCCTTCAACAATTGTAAGGCAAGGGCAGAGGTAGGGCCATAAATAAAACTAACTAGGCCAGGGCAATGTTTTACTGAGCGTTGCCAGCAAATTCTTTTCCAACATCCTGAGCCATTTGGAGACAACTGATGTTTATGGGAGGCTAGGTTGCTGCTTGAAATGTTTCCTAAAAGTAGGCATTGAAGTTACCTATTACTTATAGGCATGTCTGATCACACTTCTAAAACAGAATTTACAGGAAAAGAAACGTACCTTGTCAAGTGCCCTACTGAGGAAGGTGCTTGCCTAGGTGAAGAGGGTGTTTTCATTACTGAGCTGAGAGGCATGTTCCTTTGAGGGCTTATTTTCTCTGAACTGTAAACTCATTTCATCAGTTTCGCCAGGAGAAACAAAAAGTTCTTTCCAGCACCACATCTGATCTTAAAATCTATAAAGGAAATAGGAAGTCAAACAGAAAAGCTTGGACTGTGTCCATTAAATCATGGGGTAAACTATGAGTTTTCTGGTTGGTACATCTGTAAAATAACTACTTGACTTGTTGCAGATGAAGGAGCATTGGTCAGAGCAGCCAGGAATCTTCATTTTGTATTCACTGGAAGGACACCTGACTCAGTAATCATAGAGTCTGTAAGTATATTAGAGTAACATTATATTTTGCTGTATTTATTCCTGAAATAATTTCTAAATAACTTCAACATGGTACGTATATATTGAGATGTTGGTTGGTTGGTGTTGCTTCCTTTTCTTGAGGGTTTGTTTTTTGAGGTTTTTTTCATTAATTCTCACTTTTTTTTTTTCTTTTATTACTCTTCAGTTGGGACAGGAAGAGAGATATGAACTGCTAAATGTCCTGGAATTTACAAGGTAAACAGCGTGTTGTGCACTTAGTGTCTATGAAAATACGAATTTTTCTTACAGATAAAAATGTTTGCATTTTTCATTTGTACAGCCAAAGTATGCAGGTTGTGTATCTCTTATGTCTATAATGTGTAATTATTATGTAATAATATCATAGGCAAAGCAGTGTACATGATTAATGTACATTTCTGGTGTACATTAAACCACATTTCTGTTAAACCGTACTTCAGTGTTAAACCACACTTCTGGGTTTTTTTATTGTAAAATATTTTCAGAAAAATATAGGCATGTATTTTTTCCTATTGTCTCTTTCTTGGTTATTGTTTTTCACTTTTGCTTTTGTGCTAAGGCTGAAAAATATCCCTTGAGTTCAAAGCTTAAAAAATTATATGAAAAGAGAGTATAAGAGAGTACTTGAACTTCAAAATGTATTTCTGAAAGCCATGGCACCCTGTCATTTATTAAAAAATTGATATTTGAGGCAGGAGAGAAGGTTCAAGTAAGTGTTCAACATAACTTATGTTTGCCTTGACTGATAGAATGAAATTTTCCGTTTGACCTTCAATATACTTGCATAATTATGACTTCTTTAAATACTCTAGACTGAAAGCCATTCTCTTTTGAGCACTAGAGCACTGGCCAAATAGTTTTCTTGCAAACTGAGTGTATCACATGCTTTGCTTTCAGTAAAAATTTTATGTCAAACCTCCTAGAATTGTAAAGGTACCCATAAGAAATCTGGATGTAGTTTCACTTGTTATGTAAATCTGTTTAAATTGTATCTGTGTATGCTGTCTGTATTCTAAGTGTTTGTGTAGGCCCATTGCTTACTTTGGCACAGGATGGGGAAGGGATTTGTATGTAGAGGAAGCGCTTTTTTTTTTTTCTTCAGAATGATTACATGTGCCTGCGGAAAGTGATCATTGTTTTCCTTCCTGTCCTGTTATGTTTCCCTCGAGCTTAGCTAAAGAAGCAAAAAAGATCAAGAAATCAAAATCAAAGGCAATACTGGAGAGAGAGGCTGAACATGTATAAGTTGGGTGAAAGAAGAGAAGTAGTTGCCTATAGTTATAATAACAACCATAATAATGTGAGGCATCAAGATCACCACAGTGGAAAAAATATAACACAAGAGAAAGTAGTTTTTATAGTTTCAAATGTCTTTTAACGACTGCTTGTAATTAATGTTGGGGTTTGTTTATTGTAGAGGAAATACTTGAAATTTTTCAGATTTATGCCATGGTTTCATTTTTCTGTAGGAACCGCTTTCACTTTCTATTCTGGGAAGTTAGCAAGTATGTAGCACAAAGTTTATTTGTTGTTAGTTCAACGTATGTGAAAGTTTATACTGCATTCATGGAGTAGCAGTGAAGGATTCCTACTTTGTTTCTGGTCTAAAATTGTAATTTAAGCAGTGCTGCCTTATGGAGAAAGGAGAATTGCTTTTAAATCCTAACCTTTGGAGGAATAAGTTTTTTGGTGGATACCAATCACCCAACTTTATTAAGCATTCAGTTTTATAGCTGGTTTTGTTCTTACTCTGTAATATTTAGCTTTGCTTGGAACTGACTTGTTGGAGGCACTAGAGGTCACCCTTGTTCCACAGCAAGAGAAGTTTTGGCTCCAAAAGATAGCACCGTGTATGTAGGAGCATGTACTTTCAGAGAAGTAATCTGTAGTGATTAAACTATTGAGTTAAGTGTTTCCAGGTGTTCCGAGTTTTTCCCAGAAAAAAATGCAAACTAATTCCTTGCCACCTTCCAATACAAGCCAGGTAAGACTCTTCTGCAAGTAGAGTGCAACATTGTCAACATTCGATAGGATAGTTTTTCAGAGAAATATGTTACAGAAGCAACCAATAATCCTTAACCAGCTGAAATTTATTCCTTAATATAGTACTAATCTCCGTGGAGCAAATAGCATCTTGATAAATTGTGCTGAGTTTAGATTGTCTCCAGTGTATACTCTGCTCAGATACCGCAACTGCTGTGGTACCTTAAGCTCAAGGAATTGAAGAATTGTTCAGAACCTCTCTGTTCAGGGCTCCCTATACTTATGGGGAAAAAGGCCTACAGAAGTATGCACAGGAAAACATCATTCACTCTAATTACCAGACAGTAAAACTGTTTATTCAGCCCAGTCACCTGAGAACATAAATCAGAACAGATAGTCCTTACTTCTTTTCCTTTGTCTTATGTAAAATTGATATTCTTAGGTTAACTGTTGGTAAATATTTGTATTTACAATCCACCTTATATAGGGCATTTATTTCTCTTTCAGCACTAGGAAGAGAATGTCAGTGATTGTTCGCACACCATCAGGAAAGTTGAGACTTTACTGCAAAGGAGCTGTGAGTTTTATTCCATTTTCCCTGTGTCAAAGAACATGTGCAACAAATACAATATGAAAGGAAAAAGTTGTTCTAACTGCAGTTAAAATACTGAAAACATGGGGGAAGGAAGGTTGATGCCTTTTTCAGTTTACATCAGTTTACTATGTAGCTGTTTAATGTGATGAACTAGATAATGTCTTTTTTACTAACTGCCTACAAATGTGTGACAGACCTGTTCATCATATTCTTTGTACTGGACTAATAATTTTGTGCTTCCTATTAATTGTTTCCTTCAGTACTCCAAGGAAATGGATGAATGTATGGTATAATCTACTAGTTACTTGCTGGGGAAGCTAAGCATGAATCACTAGGTAGAAATAGTCATTTAGCATAAGTGACTAAATGGACTTTTAACCTACTGTTGGTGTTATGCCGTAGGTAAATTTCCCTAAAAACAGGATTTATGGGAAGATATCATAATGTATCTGGGAATGGTAGACTTGCTGGTTAGCTCTTGTTCTGTATCTTAAGTCAAGTTTGAGGTGGAGAGGGATGTAAATCCAGTTCCTAAATGGTCTTAAAAAATGAAGTTGATTGAATATAAATGTCTGTTCTGTATCTTCTCAAGGGGAGAGAAGCTGCTGTTAATATTCTGTATATCAAGCTAGCTACAAACACCTGAGAATGACAGTTTTGAAACACTAATTTTACCTTGTGGGCTTAATATTAAAAAGGAGGAAGACAGAATTTTAGGAGATCAAAAGAATTCATGTGGCAAGACAAAGGAAGAAGCAGTGCTTTTCAAAATGAAGGGAAATAACAGCAAAAAATGTAGGAGAGAAAAACTGTATCATAGCAGAATTTGTAAATCTAGAGCATCTTAAGGATTTGGAATGTCCTTTTTTCCATCTTCTGAGATAAAATTACTTCTATTCACTTTTGATGCTGAAATTGATTAACACAGTGCTGCATATTTTTATTCCCTTTTCCTGCATGATTTGTACTGTCTACACAACAAGCTTCTGAGTTCATTTTATTTGTTCTGTAGGATACTGTAATTTATGACCGTCTTGCTGAAACTTCAAAATACAAAGAAATCACCTTAAAACATCTAGAGCAGTTTGCTACAGAAGGTGAGTAATATTATTCAATATACAACTAAATATGAAATTCAGTTACCCCTCAACTTTTCAGTTTTGTCATTTTTATGTTGCTGTAATGTTTTATTCACCGTTAAGTTCGATAATTATGTTCTAGTGGTGCCTTCTAAAAAAGTCTTCCTGAGAAGTTTCAGTAACAAGGTCGTGCTTTAAAAGAAAAAAAAAATCACCCACATAGTACACAGTGGAGTCTTTTAAACAAAATATATTTTTTCCAGAGAGCAAACACATTGCACGTTGTTTGCTTCTGTGAAGATCTTATTGCCTGTGATCACTTTCACATCCCACACCAAATGAATTCTGTAGGGAAGGCACACAGGAAAAAGAAGCCAAAGTGAAGATGCTTAGAAATTCTGAGTGTGGTGCTTTTAAGGTAGCTTTATGCTATATTACTTCTGTCACCAATAATCACAATAAAGGAAATTGCCAGCACTAGCTTTCCATACTGTGTGTTTTGGTGTCTCTGCTGTTTTAACAATCACTCTTACAAAGCAGTCGCTGATGGTGGGGAACTTCTTCATGAGAGTTCATGAAATAGAAATAGTAACCAAAATTTAAAAGACTGCGAAATGAAGATGATTTATGCAAGCAGCTAGTTATTTAGTAATAGTGGATTATGTAATACAGACATGAAGAGGAAGGCAGACGGTAGAAAGGTTTCTGCTTTCATGAAGGTACTTCTAGCACAGTACCTAGATCTTCAATGCCATGCCCCCTTTCTGGTGTCTTAGTAAAGCATTATAGAGTTGTTTTGTGAAGTATCATAATGTTTATAAACTTTATTAAAATCATTTCCTTCTATAATACAATCCTTGCCTTTTGATAACTGATGTTTGACCAAATCTTGTTGTATCAGGAAAGATCCTTTTTCTGCCTGTTATAGATATAACTTCTCTAATTTTTCTCTTTTGGTTTATCATGGATTTTAGCATTTTTATTAGTGTCATAGTCAGCGCTTTAAGTCTCTTGATTCTGGCAGGGACAGCAGAAGCAAGCCACAGATCTGTTTCTTTTGTTAGTTTTCCATATCAAGATCTCTGCAGGGAATATTCACTTAGCCTTAAATAATCTTGGCGTATCAAAGTTATAATAAATTATACAATGAAGTTGAAAGCTGAACTAAAACCAAACAAGTTTCATGATACAACATAAAACCTCAGATACACCCTTTGAGCTCCTGAATCTAGTTGTATGAGTTGATTGCCCAGTTTGGGGTTTTTAAAAGGTCAAATCAGGATCAGTCAAGGAAAAGTTACTTAAATGTGAAGATAGTTTGGGCCATAAGACTACGTATTGGGTTACAGAAAAGGTAAAAATAGGTCAATATCTGCTATCCTGTGTGAATTGATATGAAAATTTCAATCCAGTTCTTAATTACTGTTCTCATTAAATCAGTGGTACAGCTGATATCATTTTTTCCTTAGCAGTCATGTTGGACCAAGTGAATCAATATAAAACATGAAAAATTCTGCCCATCTTTAAAACCACTTTACAGAAGTATTAGTGTTAAGAAGTTTGTTCAAGTACTTTTTGTATCCTTATTTTCAACAGATGAAAAGATTTACTGTTCAGAGAGTGAATTTCTAACCTTTCAAAAGCATAAAATTCAATCTTAAAAAGTAAAATAAAAATAAGTACGTTTCTCTCTCTCTCTCTGGAATCTATTAAAGAAATCAGTATTTATTTTTGCATGAGATTTAAATTGCAGCCTATGATGTTGCAAAGTTTCTCATGAGTATCCTTTCATGTGGCAGTACAGTATGTCCTTGGCATTTGCTGCATGCTGTTGGTGTGTTGTTCAAAAATGAAGTGGTTAGCATGGCTGGCATTAATATTTAAGCATTTATTAAACTTGAGTGTTAATGCCTGCTTGGATAAATAGGAAAAGTGTGTAATTTTCCTATGTTGTTGTTCCAGTCTGTTAAGAAGCAGACTTAATGATACTTTGTTTTCTACTTTTCATTTGGAAGATTCTTTTAAATCACAATGAAAAGAATCTTTTTCAAATGAAAAATAGAAAAAATAGTCTCTGATTTTAAAAAGAAAACACAAATCCCTTGAAAAGCTTGTTTGCTGATATTTGGTACACACTGATTTCTTCATTTCATCATCTGCATAAAATATTTTGAAAGAACTGTGGAAATAATATTACTACTAGTCAGGCAGAAGTGCCTTTCCTCCCCTTCACCTCATAATCATTGCTTTGGACCCTGCTAGTATATCCTTATTACACAGAGGAAAAAAAAAAAATCCATTGATTTGTCTGTCCTAAGTTTATTCTTTAGGTATGGATGGTGAGAAGCTGTGTTTCTAATACTGTTGGGCTGTCAAGATATTAGGTTTACATATGGTTTTCATGCTGAAGGTATTAAATTACTGTCTTAAATCTAAGACACATATGTATTATTTCATGCCCAGCCTCTTGATTACTTCAGAATTGATGCTGGTGCTGAAATATACGCAACAAAAACTATGAACAAATAAAGATTGCATTTAGCCATCCTTGGTTATGGTGCTGTTCATCTGCTGGAGCAGAGTGGGCAAGTGAACAAAGGCACTAAGTAAGTCCTGCTTATCCCCCTCCTAAATCTACGTGCTTGCAAATTGTGGCTTCGTAAGACATCATTTGGCTAGAGCAATGCTCTTCTTAGTATATAAAGAGTTATACCAATTTCATGCTCTAGAAATCTAAGAATCTGCAATATGTGAAAATGAACTGTGAGAACATTCACACCTAGCTACTTAAATTGAATATAAATGTGTGTTGTCAAAGAATAGGTCTCTTATAATCTTGCAGTCTCAAATTCTCATTGTAGTGCTTAATTCAGATTTCTGCTGAAGGAAAAAAAACTGTTAAGTGTAAGCAGCTCAAAGATTGTTAAGTAAAATCTCCGAGTGTTCCTGTACACAATGATTTTATTTTAAGAATTTGAGAAACTGAAAGAATCTGTGAAATGGAAAATTAAATCTGAGCAGATTCAAAGTCAGCTTCTAAATGGTGAATTTTAAACTTCAACCAAAAATTTCCTGAGAACATTGAAGAGAGGTGGAAAAGGGTAGTTGTAACATCATGCTGATATACTGCTTTCCAGAGAAGCAACGTTTAAGTTCATAATTTCTTTTTGTCAGAAATATAATTTAATCTTAAAGTTTTAATGTTCCTAAAAATCTAATGTATGTATTTGTTCAATAAGTGTCATTTGGGATTGCTTCATGTTTTGTTTACAATTTAAGATAAATTGAACTTGTGTGAAATTTCATTATTTTTTTCCCCTTGAAGTACATCACTTGTATTACATTCAGCTACCATAAAATAGTTACTCTGCTGGATAAATTTCTATTTATATCATGGTTTTTTACCTTACATATATTTTTGAAAGTTCTTTGAGACATGCGGCAGTAAGTTGAAAATCAGGCATAAGCATACACAAAATACAGAATAAATTCATCTTTTGGTAGTTGCTCATTGCAGGCACATCAAGGAAGGGACTAACAACTACTGAATCATACTTAACTATCTGCTTTTTTTTTTTTTTAGGCTTAAGAACTCTATGTTTTGCTGTGGCTGAGATTTCAGAAAGTGATTATCAGGAGTGGTTAGATGTCTATCACCGTGCTTCTACAGCTTTACAAAACAGAGCGCTCAAACTTGAGGAGAGCTACGAGCTAATTGAAAAAGTATGTGTAGCTTTCTGAGGGTGTTAGTTGGCTTGGGTTGGGAGGGAGGGAGAGGATGAGGCACATGAGGAGAATGGGTTTTTTTAATTAACGTCCTTGCTTTCTACACCATGAAATCTGAATCATTATAGAGGAGTAATGCTTAGATAGAAAAAAAATCTAGCAGTATACTGAAGCTCTGTCATGTAGTCCTTTCAGATTAGATGGTCAAAGTGAAGGAAAGATTAATTTGACAAAGTGTTTGCAACAAGTAGTTTCCTTGCCAGAAAGTTTTAATTTTAAGTTGAACTACTGGAAAGCTTTTTTCAGAGTTGCGCTATTGTATAAGAAAGTGTAACAACAGGCAAACAAAATAGGAAAAAAATGCTTTATTTTGTGATGAGCTTAGAGCCATAGAGTAGTTAAGGTTGGAAGGGACTTACGGAGGTCATGTAGACATAAATCCCTGGTCAAAGCAGGGCTAATTTTGTTTGACCAGCACTTCAATGAAGTTTTGAGGATCTGCAAGGAGAGAGTTTTCCCAGCTGCAGTAAGCAATTGTTGGTTATTTTAGTGCTCAACTATTCTTTTTCCCCTTTTTCTGAATTTTAATTTCTGTTACTGCAGAATGGGACTGTTGCCTCTTGCCTTTTCACCATGCACCTCTTAGAGGAAGATGGCTTCTTTGCAAGCCTTCAGTTAGCAGAAGGCAGCCATGGAATCCCTCCCTTAGCTTTATATTTTCGCCATGTTAACCTCATCCTGCTTCTTCAGACACTCTCAAGATGGTATTGCTCCAGGCCCCAACCTATTTTTGTGTCCCTCTGCTGAACTTGCTTCACTTTGTCAACCACTCCTGTACTGAAGGCCCAGAAAGGGAGGTAATATCCAGTTGCAGCCTCACAAGAGCAGAGCCAAGATCACTTTACCTTGAGTTTCTGGCCGTGCTGCAGCTGGAGTAGCCAAGCATATGTATTCACAAAAAACATACAGATCTGCTGCATGGGAAGTCTAAACCAACATTATCAAGATTATAGTTTTAAGACATGGACAATGGAATTGAGTGCGCCCTC